TGTGAAGGACGGTTGTCTACCTCTCGTGAAATCAATATATCACCAATGCAGTCTCACCCAATATGTAAGTGGCATAAGCCGCAAACACTCTAGGGTTTTTGCCCCTCGAGGGAAGCCACGTTGGGATGAGCTCTGCTGGAGACGAAGAGCGCACTGCTGCGAGCGGAGAACAGATCCACCCGCCGGTGGAGGGCAGCGATGCGGAGCTTGCAGGTTTGTAACTGCAGGTTTCGTGATTGGCGGCCCTGGTGGAAGAGTCGATATAGAAGAAGGAGGCTGGCAGCGTCGTGGCGGATGCAGCCAGTAGGGGCGGCTGGGTTGCCGCCACCGGAGACCAAGAGCCCATGCAGCCGTGAGGCGGGGGATTTCTCCAGCAGCAAGCAAGAGATGGTGGACAAGAAACACGTCAGCTGCTAGAAGGCGGCTGGGCCAGCAGATCGGGAGCGAATCCTGCGAGACCAGCCGGAGTGGGCCCGGGCATAGGACCGGACTACGGGGAAGCGAGGGGGTTAAACTCCCCAGGTGAGATACCCGTGGTTCGAGGAAATGGAGAATTCCTCGACAGCTGCAGCAGTAGCCACATGAAGAGAGTAACAGTCAATTCCCCGCGACTCGAAGGGGAGAGTCGTGGCCAGGGGTATGACTCGCGGAGAAAGTCGCTTATCCAAGCGGCCAAGACTGTAGGACTGGACGGTCAATTGATCGGCAACAACGAGAGACACGCACCTGTCGGCAACCCAAACGTGCCAAGCTCGGAGCTGTACCGCATCCAATACACCAGCGACGAGGTCCAGAGGGGCCTCCAAGCGTTCCATTGTGTGACCACTGCCATCGTCAGAGAATCCGACAAGGCGATCGTGAACAAATGCGAGACCGCAAAAGAGATCCTCGCGTAACTCGACAAAATCTACGATGCGGAATCGCAGGGCCCGAAACAAGCCCTCATGAAGCAAATGTTCAACTTCACGATCCCCACACACAATAGCAGAAACCCCATCGAGCACCTGTACTCGCTCGAGCTGCTGTACTCAGGCCTACGCAGAAAAGGCTCAACGCTGACGCACCCTTTGTGCTCGCCCACTTTGTTGGTTCCCTCCCACCCGAGGACCAACAAGCGAAGTTCCTGTTGAAGACACCAACGACGCTGGATAGGGCCGAGATCGTCAGAATCGTGAGCACGGTGAACGCGAGCCTTCCGGAGGGGAGGAAGGCCTCGAAGGGCCAGCGGAGAGCGGAACACGCTCTCCACGCAAGCGACCGTAGCGGTGGGGGAGGAGCGCCGGGCCGCGGCAACGGCGGTCGCCGCAAGAGTGGCGGCGGCGGCGGCGGCAACCAGAAGGGGAGGGGGANCAGGCGAGTATCACAAAGTCGTTGGTCGACGGGGTGTAGAGCAGGCAAGGCGGGGTAGGTATGTTGCCGATACCGGCGCTACCACCCGAATGTTCCCGAACTCAGATAGGTTGGTCCGATATCAGGAGTGTGATCGACGTGTGCATGTCGCCGCCGGAGAAACCTTCCCTATTGTAGGGTACGGCGACGTCACTACCACCCTTAGCTCGCGCGACGGGACAGCAGACCTGTTCTTGAAACGGGTTGCAAACGTTCCTCAATTTGACTTCAACCTAGTCTCTCTGACGTCCCTCTTCAACGACGGGTTCAAAACCCGAACCCTAGACAAACACGTTGGAGTTGGAGAAAGAGGAGGGGAAGTCGGTGTACTTGCCCCGATGCAGTAACCTATACGTCCAAAACGGTTTCCGCACACACACCGAACATGCCTATGCCGCAATTGCTCCTGGCAACGCGAAAGCG